TCAGCAGCCTCGCGTCCGTTGGGTGCCGATCGTTTCCAAGAGTTCCGAAGGGCCCCCTTTGGCCGACTGGCGCGCGCGTTTCTTGGCGGCTGTTTCAGCCCAGCTTCTTCATTCAATGCGGCTGGTCGATCCCGATTGTGATCCCAATGGAGCGGCTGCCCCCCTACAGAAGCATTATGGCAAGTTTTGGGTTCTGGTGATGGGGGCTTCGTGACCTGACCCCCCCCCGAGGCCTCGATCCGGGGGGCGCCGGGGAGGCGGCCGCCTTGGGAAGGTGGGCCACATGGCTCACATCTAATTATTTCTACCCTGGACCCTCCGAGTTTTCAGCAACTCCAGGAGGGCGCCTAGGAGCGGGCTAATAAGGCGGCCAGGCGAGCCGCTTCGGAAGCGCGGGCCCGTTGGAAAGTCTGGCTGTCTGAGGCCCTTGCGGGGTCAGCGTCGGCGGCCCATCGGCTGCTCAAGCCCAACGTGGGCCCTGAGGTGCCGAAAACGGAACCCATTTTCAAGGTCGCCCGGCTGCCGCGGCCAGTGAGATGCTGGAAGTCGAGTCGGGTGCCTGGGGCAAGATTTGGAGTAGGCACTCTCGGAAGGAGGCTTTGGAAGCTCTGGCTACCTGGAGGGTAGCTGCTCGCGCGTCTCCTTTGTCCGACCCCATCTCGCCCCAGCAGGTGCTAGCAGCTCCTAAGACGATGCCTGACCGTCGCGGCAAGGGAGCTGATGGGATGCCACCGCGTCTGGTCAAGGATGCGCCCCCTGAGGCCATTCTTGCCTTGGCCATCCTTCTGACTAGAATCGATCATGAAGTGATCTTACCCTTTCCACGAACTGTTTAATCTTATTGCCCTCCTGGACAAGGAGGACGGAGGCTTGCGCCCTATTGCCCTCCTTAATTTTTGTTACGTGATACTGCGTAGGATTCGCAAGCCTGTGACTGGAGCTTGGGATCACGAAGCCCACGGGTCCTGGGGCAAGACTGGGCTCGTCGGCCGAACATGCGGGCTGGCTCGATGAACTGGAGACCGAGTTGGTTCTCCTAGGAGGTTTCTGTCTTGCCGGGGGCTTGCTTGATACGCGCAAGTTCTATGACCTGGTCTGTTTGCCTGACCTCGCCCAAGCTTCCCGCGACCTCCACTATCCTTTCCGCCTCCTCGTCCTGACCCTGGATGTGCATCTTGGGCCCAGGATGTTGACGCTCCAGCAGCGGGTCCACCCAGGACATCCTCCTGGTGGTGGGATCTTGGCGGGGCGTGGCCAGGCGGTCTCCCGGGCCCGGTCGTATTTATATGAGCCTTTGGAGGCTACTAACAATTCGGCTCCAGGGCTCAGGCCCCGGGAATGGGTGGGCGACATCTCTTTCCACCTCCCTGGTTCGGAATATTCGATTTTGGCATTTCCTTTCCGATAGTCTTGCGTGCTCTTCTTCAGGGCCTTCGCAGACGTAAGTGCGCGCTAGCGCTTTCGATGTGTTATTTGATGGCCTCCTCGGCCAACCTCCGCCACAAGCTAGCCGGCTGGGCGGAGGAAGCTGGGGGAGAAGCTCATCGGCTAGGCCAGGCCACCGCGGCCCGTGATTTGGGCAACGACGCGACCATGGGCGCCTCCAGGTCGGTCATGACCAGGAAAGCAAGATTTTGGAAGGGCCGGCGCGCGGCTTTCAAGATTTCTGGCCCAGTTAGGACCTTTCCTAAGTCCTCGAAGCTGTGCCTTTCCAGCGCTTTTCCGAAAGCTGTCTGGGCCCCTGAAGTCCATGGGCTGGCCCCCGGCATGGCCAAGCAGCTCCGTGGACAGGCGCGGCTGAGCAGTGAGTGCCCGCAGAGAGGCTCTTGCGCCACCGCGGCTATTCGAATCAGTCTGGGCTCTAGCCGTGACCCTGCTATAATGTACATCAGGCGTCTCGTCGGAGCTTGGTTCGCTAGAGTTGTTCGGTCCCCTGAGCTAGCTGCACGCGTCGATGCGGCGCGGTCGGAATCTCTCGAGCGCGTGAAAAAAGGCTGGAATTTAGTTCGGGGGGCCCTAGGTGCTTTTCAAGCCTCAATTTTGGACCTCGGCTGGAGCCGCCCGTCGATCACGAGCTTGGTGGAGCCCAGCGGTGACGAATGGGCCCTTCAAGATGCCGGCCTTGCTCCCCCCTCCTGCCTTCTTGATGCTTGGGAGGCCTCTGTGGAAGCTTCGATTTGGGAGCGAGCGGCGAAGCACCTTGATGGAGCTGGCAATGAAGCTGGAGTCTGGTGGCAGCATGTAGTCCCCCTTGCCTCCAGGCTGGAAGCCGATGATAACCGCGCGATGGCGAGCATGGTCCGTCTCATTGCCTGTGGAGGCTATTGGACTGAGCAGCGTAGGTTCGAAGCAGGCTACCGCTCGGATCCGGACTGCCAGAGGTGCAAGGCGGCTCGGGAGACCAGCTCCCGTAGATTTTGGAGCTGCCAGTGCAACACGCTGCCAGTGCAACACGCAAGTAGGCAGTCAGCTCCCCCCGCTGGAAGTCGTGGCCACCAACCAGCTGATCCCCGAAGCCCTCCAGGACGTTGGTAGTTGCCCAGTGTTCTGGCGCCGTGGACTGGCCCCCCTTGCTTGGTTGGAGCTCCCCCCTCCTCCCTCGTCCAAGGACCATGTCTGGATTGGACGGCCTGAGGGCACGCACCTCCCGGGCATTTACGGGGTCGATGGCTCAGGGGGCACTTGGTCAAAGAGCTCACTTCTTCGGCGGGTGTCTTGGGCCTTTGCGCGCCTGGATCCTGAAGGTCTTGATGGCCTAGGTTGGGGCTCGGGGTGCACCGGTGTGGTCGACAGCCCTAAGCAGTCTGTGCCGAGGGCCGAGTTGTGTGCTATTGTCAAGTACGTTAGGGCTGTCGATCATTCAGCGGACCTTTTCATCTGGTGTGATCACATCAATCATGTTCGATCCCTCAGCAAAGGGAGACACCCCTGCTTTTAGTTAGAGCGCGCGGATTTGCGGCGTGAGCTGCATGCTCTCCTGCACGTGCGTTCCGGCAGTTTTGAGCTGCAGGATGTGCCGTCCCACTTGGCCGAAGATGAGGCTAAGTTCCAGAGGCTGGCTGCAGGTGCCCCCACTGGGGCTATCTTCACCAACTCAGTAGCGGACGGCCTTGCGGACTCTAGGTGCGAGCTTTGCCAGATCGCCCCTGATGTTTGCAAGAGGGCTCTCGACCTCGCCGCCAAGGCTGAGTCGGTTCTTCTCCGCATTGCGAGTTTGTCAATTGCTGCTGCCTCATGTCCTCGCGTGCCGCTCCGAAAGGTCAAGCCCGTGCCGGTCCCTCCCGGTGAGAGGCGGATTAAGAGGCGCGAGGCGGCAGCGGCAGCCTCCCCCCACCGTTTTCAGGCCATATGTGCGGGCTGGCGTTGTCTCAGGTGTGGCAAGCTGGTGCTCTCCAGCAGCTTATCCGTCATGGCCTACCTGAGGACTGCCCGCCCCGCCCGCCCCCCCTGGTCCCGCCCAAGAGCCTCCTGCTACAGAAGCTGGGTTTGAAGGACCCGCGGGGGAGTTGGAGGCCTTGACTGGTGGAGGTGGAGGAAGGAGGCCAGGAGCTGTTGTGTTCTCGGGTAGGTTTTTAAGGCTTCCGCCCATAGATGCGGCTTTTTTCCAGGACTGTCTGTGGATCGCACCCGCCGAGGCGTCTCGAAGGCAAGGGATTTCTTGGCAAGATGCTTCACACCTCCCACGACTTGTGGGAGAAATGCTCGTGCTGCTTTTGTAGTAAATGCGGACGGTGCACGTCCTCTGCGAATCCTGCTTTTCTTGTAGGTTTGTGTGAAGTCGACCAATATGGTCGACATGATCTTGTCAAGGCGCAGTACACTTCGCTGCAGCGCCTCAGGAAGGGATTGCCTCCCAGGTTCGGAGTCAGAAGGGTACAGTGGGCACAGTGCCCCTACACCCTCAACCTCCTCTTGCAGTGTGGGTGGTCGGATCTCCTCGTGATCCGTGTCTGTTTCACCAGGCGTTCAATCTCAGGTTTCCTGATGCTTGTGCTGCCTGCAGCTCCTAGCAACAAATCTGATGTTCATTCTTTTCCTCCTCTCTGCACTGCAGCGCCGTCGCCTTGCACGCGCCCGCCCGCGAAATTGGTCAGGCGCGGTCCGCAGAGGTTTGTTTTCCTTTCGGTCCGGGGCAGGGGCTGCGGCTCGCAGGCCAGAGTGGGTCTAAGCCAAATCAGGAGGGGAAGAAACACCAGACACAATGAATCGTCGATTCCCAGGAAAATATGGGAAAATATTGGAAGCGGGGGGAAGACAAACACCAAGGAAATATGGGAAAATATGGGGCATCTTTTTATTTGTGTGTATTTATTTGTGTGTCCCAGGGCCCCTTCACCAAAGTATATATGCTGTTGGCAATTCGAGCTTTACCCAAAGAGATCAGATTGAACCGCTGCTGGCGTGAACATTGCCGCGCGGCTCAGGCGCCAAACCCGGACGGTACGGCTCTCAGAAGCTATCTGCGGGCAGGTGCCTTGCGAACTGCGGCGGGGCAGCGCGTGGCTGCCGGCGCGGCTGCTCTACGCCGTTTTGCTGCTGCAGCTGGTCGGGGGCCTCTATGCGCTGACCGGCCCTCTGCACGGCAGACGGAGGCACGAAGCAGTGCTGCCGATGCTGGCATGCAGCGCACGGTAGGTACATGGCCGGGGCATGCAGCAACATGAGAGGAGAAGCCCAGCGGCGCTCGGGGGTTCTGCCGGAGGGGGCGGTGTGGACGCAGCCGCCTCGCAGGCCTCAGAGGCAGGCAGGTTTGGGCCGGCCCCTCCCTGGTGGAGCCACGGCCGCGTGCGCCAAAACGGCTGCGGAGGTGGAGGAGGTGGAGGGGGGAGTGGAGAGGAGCGGAGGGAGGGAGGGAGGGGGGGGGAGCGAGGAGGACGAGGAGGGGGAGGAGGAGGTGGAGGGGGGAGTGGAGAGGAGCGGAGGGAGGAAGGGAGGGAGGGGGGAGTGAGGAGGACGAGGAGGGGGGGGGGAGGGGCGCCTTCTCGCGCGCCGTCGGTCAGGGAGCTGTCCAGCGGCTTGCCCTTCGCGGGAGGCCCCTCCGCCGCACGGGGGGGGGCGGCGGCCGCCTCGATGCGCGTCGGGGTCTCCCGATGCCCGAGGGCCGAGGAGGAGCCCAGGCAGCAAAGTCACGACGGGAGGTTTCTGGCAGTCTTCGGCCTCGGGGGGGCCCTACAGTCGGGGCGCTGAAGAAGGAACCCTTTTCGTTGGGGGGCTCGGTGTTCCTTGATTGTTTCAAAGTTTGCCTCGGGTTCTTCTGAGGTTTTCCATGGGAAATCGAGGTTGCACTAGTGGGAAAAAGGGGCCTCGTTCCTTATTTAGGGTTCCTTAGGTCAACGCCCCGACTATAGCTTGGCCCCCGGGGCCGTGAAAACATGCCTCGGGGCGCAGGGCGGGGGACGGTCAACGCGTCAAGGATGATCCTTGGAAGGACCTTTGCGATTTTCGTTGTTGGGCACGCTCATCCTGTTTTTGTTTGCTTCCTCTGCCCAACGGTACCCGCAAGTTGGTTTGTTTTATGTGCCTTGCGCCCATCGCTTGTGCACTTGAAGGGCACGACGTCCGAGGTTTGGGTTTTGGGGCTCAAGGCGGCGTTCGGGAAGATGTCGACCGAATTTCAAAATCATGAAAGGCGTGCGGGAGAAAGTCGAGTTGCTTCTCCCCCCCTGGGGGTGAGAATCTCAGTTCCTCCACATCGCCACTGAATTGACCCCCGAGTGAATTTCTCATGGCTGCTGGCATGCGCAAGGTGGCTTTGCTGCTAACATGCATGCACAACCCTGACACGGTTCGCAGATAGCAGAGTATTGGTGGCAGGGTCGTCTCGAGGCCTTCAGACGAGGCCCAAACGGAGCCAAAAACACATCGGACAATGTCGATCCCCCTCCGGAGGAGATCCCACAGATTGGTCTACACGCCATTACAAGAACGAGCAACACGCATTACAGCATCCCGCTCTCGGCAGCGTCTGGGCTAGCGAGTGTAGCTTCAGCAGCACATCCGTCTTCTCTGAAAAAAGAAGGGTGCGAGGGTCGAGCTGCACTGTTCGATTTCCATAATGGTAGCGCAACCCAAACTGTTAGCAGCAGCGTGCAGGCAGCATCATGCATCATGCGACCATGGCCTCGTTCCAATCAAGCTCCTGCCCCGGTTCCGCGAAGGCTCGAGGTTTGCAAACAATACTTGATCGTCGCGCCGCTCGGTCTGACTCGTCCAGTCGACCAGCAGCCAATGTTCCAGACCACCTGCGAACCTCACCCTTGCGGGCCCGCCGCAGCCGCCGCACCCCAAGTGGCGACCCCCGCGCACCGCGGTCGGCCCTCGCCGCCGTTTCTGCAGATCCCGCGCCCGCGCCCGCGCCCGGCGCAGGCCTCTACATCTCCGAGCTCGCGCTGACTGGCGCCGTGGCTGCGCTGACGGGGCCCGCGGTCGGCGCGCACCGGGAGGCCGTGCTGTCCTTCTACCGCGCCGAGCAGGCGTGGTTCCCCGGCGTGGCCCGAGCGCGTCTTCTCCTCCCCGCGTGCCCTCCCACCGCCGTGCCGGTGCGTCAGCACGGCGCAGGGTCTTCGGCAGGCCTCGGCTTCGTGGGTCACCACCTACCAAACCACCCCAACCCAACCCGAAGGCCTCAATTTGCCCTCCATTTCCAGTGGGGGGGGGTCGGGGAGCATCGAAAAAACACATGTGGAGCCCATACCCCCCCCAACCCGAAATTCGGGTCTTCGGGTTGGGTTGGGGTGGTCTGGTAGGTAGTCAGTGGGGGGCCCTGGCTCGGGCCGCAGGCCATGCAGGAAGGGCGACTTCTGGGAGGAGGAGCTGCCTGGTAGGATTGGGGAGTTTTATCCGTGAGGGCTTCGCCCCATGCCGCTGGCCCCCTGTCTCGGATCATGGGAGATGCAAGAGCCAAATCATGAGGTCTGGGCGCCGCCGTGAAGCAGTGTCGCGACCTCTTTGATTTTCGACCCTGACCCTACGGATCTGCGTTAGGGGTGCCGCCGACTTTCAGAAATGTAGCAAATCCCTTGTGCTTTTGGACCCTGACCCTACGGATCTGCGTGTGGGGTGCCGCCGACTTTCAGGAATGTGGCACGTCCCTTGTGTTTTTTGGACCCTGACCCTGCCGGTCTGCCTGAGGGGTGCCGCCGAATCTTCGAAATGTGGCAAATCCCAAGTGTTTTTGGACCCTGACCCCGCCGATCTGCGTGAGTGGTGCCACCGAATTTCAGAAATGTGAAAAATCCCCAGTGTGTTTGGACCCTGACCCCGCCGACCTGTGTGAGGGGTGCCACCGAATTTCAGAAATGTGACAGATCATTTGTGTTTTTGGACCCTGACCCCGCCGATCTGCGTGAGGGGTGCTACAGAATTTCAGAAGTACAAGTCCCGTGTGTTTTTGGACCCTGACCCCGCCGATCTGCGTGAAGGGTGCCAGCAAATTTCAAACATGTGGCAAATCCCCAGTGTTTTTGGACCCTGACCCCGCCGACCTGCGTGAGGGGTGTCAGCATATTTCAGGAATGTGGCAAATCCCTAGTGTTTTTGGACCCTGACCCCGCCGATCTGCATGATGGGCGCCAGCAAATTTTAGAAATGTTGCAAATCCATAATGTTTTTGGACTCTGACCCCGCCGATCTGCGTGAGGGGTGCCATCGAATTTCAAACATGTGGCAAATCCCCTGTGTTTTTGCACCCTGACCCTGCCGATCTGCGTGAGGGGTGTCAGTTTGTACCCCCCCAGAAATTCTGAGAACCCTTGTTGGCCGTGGTAAAAGTGCCCGTTTTGGGCCTCCCCCCCTCGCGCGGTCCATCAACAAGGAAACAAGGAACAGTAAGCAGCAAGAAGTCAACAAGGATCATTAAGCAGCAAGAAGCAGAACTGTAACAGCGGAAACTGGAAACTGCAACTGGTACAGGAAGCTGCGAATTCCCGGCCTACAGCCTGGTGGCCCCGCAAGGGGGCCGGCGGATTTGGGTTCGGTTGTTGGATTATTGTCTCTTCGTGCGCTCGCCCTGGAGGCGAGCGCGGAGCCGGCGGGGCTGGCAGCATGTTACAGGCACGATCCTTGAGACAAAATTCCTTGGGTGTTCCGTCGGCTGCCGCTGTCAGGCCCGACCTGCGTGGAGGGGCAAGTGGTGTCAGTGGGGTTCTTGGAGCGGGGGGTCCGCGATACTTTCGGAGGATGATAGACCTCCTACCCTGACACGTCGATTAGTGAATTGGCCGTTTTCGGTTCGCAAGAGGGCGTCGCGGCTGTTATTTTTGCGGGTCCAGGTCCGTCGGTTTGGCTTCTAGGCCGTTTTCACTTAAGGGAGGTGTACTAAAGGGAGGTTTGTCCACCGCCGACACTTGGTAAAGCGCGAGGTGTTCCGAGAACTGCCGCGGTCTGGCGGTGCCTCCTTGGAAGAGCAAGCAGTGCCTGCGCGGTTGGTGTAGGGAGAGGGCCGCGATCCCGCGGTGCCCCGCGCTTCCTCTCGGACCCGCGCAGCGGGAGCGCACCTCTGCCGGAGGCGGAGTTCGCGCAGCGTGAGTGCAGGGCGGGGGGGGGAGTGCGGATGACAAGGAGGGATAGCACTGGGGGATGGGCTGGGAAAGCAAGGAGGGGGAAGCAAGGGAGGGGAGGAGGAGGAGGAGGAGGAGGAGGAGGAGGAGGAGGAGAGGAGGAGGAGGAGGAGGAGGAGGAGGAGGAGGAGGCGGAGGAGGGGGCGCGATGCGGGAGGGGGGAGTCGGGCCAGGACCAGGGAGGGCCAGTCGGGGCGATCCCAGCGTCTTCACCGGCCCTCGACGGGGCGCGGCTGCCAGAAGACAGTCCAGGGCCAGAAGTGAGTCGATAACCTCCAGCGAGCCCCGGAACCTGCCCGCCAACCCGCGCGGGCCCACCCACCCCAACTTGCCCGCAAGCGCGCCCAGGCCTGCCCGCCGGCCGAACAGCCCAGACCTCCGACGTCGTGAGTTTGCCATGGGGTGGCCCCCCTGGAGCTTTCGACCACTTCCCGCACACCAGCTTGACATCCCCAGCCGTTTTTCTGATGGTCTCGGGAATGGCCTCCACAAGTTCGAGAGGGGCGATTCATTCCCGCCTTGACCTTTGGTCTTTGTGTTCCAGACGTAAGAGGTCAGGGAAACAACCTGCCCGGTCGGATTTCGGGTCATGGTTCTGGCCTCCAGTGAGCCTTCGGGGCGACTCCTGCCCCCCTGCGCGCAACTTGTCGTCCCAAGATTCGCTTCTGACGGCCGGGGTGGGCCGAAAACGACCCCGGGGGGGGAGCCCGACCTCGGCGGGAGACTGCCCAATGTCGAAACTTGACGACGAACGCCCTCCTCCTGTTCCGCGCGGTGGGTGCCCGGCGTTGCGGCGCCCGGCGGCGCCACCGGGGAAGGGGTGGAGAAGGACGAGGACGAGGAGGAGGAGGCGGATGAGGAGAGGGAGGGGGACGGGGGAGAAAAAGCAGGGGGAGGACGGCCAGGGGGGGCGAGGCAGACGGGGGAGGAGGAGGAGGAGGAGGAGAGGTAGGAGGAGGGAGGAGGAGGAGGAGGAGGAGTAGGAGGAGGATGAGGACGAGGAGGGAGAGGAAGATGATGATGATGATGATGATGATATGATGATGTTGATTGAGGATGAGGGATGATGATGATGATGATGATGATGATGATGAGTAGGAGGAGGAGGAGGAGGAGGGAGGAGGTAGGAGGAAGGAGGAGGAGGAGGAGGAGGAAGGAGGAGAGGAGGATGGGGGGAGGAAGAGATGAAGATAGGAGGAGGAGGAGGAGGAGAAAGAGGAGGAAGAGGAGAGGGGAGGAGGAGGGGGGAGGAGGGGGAGAAACGACGAGGACGAGAGGGGATATGATAAAGATGATGATGATAGAGATGATGAGATGATGATGATGGATGGAATGAATGATTATGATCATGATGATGATGATGATGATGATCATGAACATGATCAAAGAGATGAAGATGATGATGATGATATGATGATTGATGATAGATGATGATGATGATGATGATGAGGAGGAGGAGGAGGAGGAGGAGGAGAGGAGGAGTAGGAGGAGAGAAGAAGGAGGGGGGAGGAAGAAGGGGGAGAGGGGTAGGAGGAGGAGGGTGAAACCGCGGAGGACGAGGAGGAGGAGGAGGAGGAGGAGGAGGAGGAGGAGGAGGAGATAGAGGAGGAGGAGGAGGAAGAGGAGGAGGTAGAAAAGGAGGAGGAGGAGGAGGATGAGGGGGATGAGGAGGCACCCGGCAATTTTTCTACATAGTTGTTCCTCCGAAAAAAAACGAAGAAGCTGAACTCAAGAAAAAAAATGCGTCTTCTACATATAGTCATCCCTGTTGTAATCACACAGGAAAGCAGTATTTTGTGAACGGGGAGCCAGGGAGGCTGGGCGGCCGCCGCGGATTGGTGGGGGAGGCTCCGTCCTGGGAATGCCCTCCCCTTGCGAGGGGCGCCGGGGGGCGGAGTCTGGAGCCAGGGAGGTGGCCCTCGGGCGGACCTGCCGGGGAGGCGGTGCCGCCCTCCACGCCTGCCGGCAGCGACGCAGGGGCAGCGCGGCCGCCAGCCTCGGGGACGCGGCGTCGGACATGCAGACGGCTTGAGTGCGTCGCTAGAGGAACAACAAGTGGCATAAACATAGGAACTTGGAGGTCCGCGCGGATTTCTCGGATCGGCGCTGGGGCCCCCCCACCTCCGAGTTTTTATGTTTATGTCACTGTTGTTCCCCTAGTCGCCACGCCGCGAGATACAACAATGGGGCCACTCGCACGCCACAGAGACTGTACAGAACGTCGATGCTGGCCCGCAGGCCTGCGCGCCTGCTGGGTCCTGACAGTCCACCGCGTGCCCCCCCCTTGCGCACGCTCGTAGCAATTTGGCTTGCGCGCGAGGGCCCGAACGCGGCTCGCAGACTTACATGGGGGTGCGCGATTCCGCATCAACACCGACGACCAACCCGTGCTAGCGAGCGATAATGAGCGGTTCGAAGCGGCCCCGTGTTTTGGTTTTTCCACTGCACCGTTGTATCCCCTCGAGAAAAACGGCCACTCAGTAGTTTGGCCCTGGTGGTCGGTTATGGCGTTGCCGCCAGCGCATCCGCGCAGCCTCCGCAGCAGCCATGTGGGATATTGCCCGCTTTCTTGTCGTAGTCGTCTGTTGGTGACCGGCGCGAGTGCCCGCGCTGCAGTTCGGCGTACTTAAGCGGGCGGCAAACTGGCGCGTTCGGTGTGGAACCCGTGACGCGTCGCCGCAGATCCAAGCCGATTGGGACTGCGCGGGTTGGGCGGGTTGGGCCGCGGCCCTGGCCGTTCGCCCTGCCGAGGTGCGGTTGGCCCAGGCGGCGGTTTTATGCTGCGGAGATGCATGGGCCGCGGGCGGGCGCTAGGCCCCCTGAGCACCTGCCTGTCTTTGCGCTCGCGCGGGGAGCCGCGGTCCCGAAGTGCCGTCGGCGCCCACGGCCCGCGAAGCATTGATGCCGCCAGCTGCGCCCGCCTCCGCT